AACAAATATTTGAAGTAATTTCCTAAAGTAAAAAGTCTTAATGATAACCTTAATGTTTTTCTAAATCAGAATTTTAAAAAGAACTTGTAAAACCCACGAAATATTAACAAATATGTAACATTAAAAAAAAAAAAAAAAAAAAAGTAAATATCAGATATACTCATTTTAAACAAGTTATAATCATAATTTTTTGCTGCCCCTTCATGTTTATTTGTTCATAACTTCTTCAAAATAGCTAAAACACAAAAAAAAAAAAAAATGAATTAAAAGAAAAAAAGAAATGAATGTGACATGTAAGTTAATATATAGCTCGTGAGTGATTTTCATTTTCCCACACTTTATCGAACAACGCAAACGCATCACAATAAAATGATGTTACGACGAATTATAGATGAGGATATAATAAAACTTAGGAATACCTTAAAAAGGTTTACCTCAATAAGTGGAAATACTAATCGATAATTTCTATGAAAAACTTCATGAAAGGTAATAACGGCCTGTGCAGTAACCAGTGAATAGATGAAAAACCTGAAGCATTTTTGATTACACTAAATTTTTTGGTGTTTATTTATTTCAATTTCATTTTTTTTTTTTTTTGAAAAAAAAAATAAAATTCATGTCCATGTATTAAAAAACAAATGCATGAAAATACCTCGTAATTTCAGGAGAACTGGAACCAACTGAGAGGCAAATAATTTGTGAGAGCGCAGTATTCAACGATCCAAAATAAATCAGCCATGCTCTTAAGGATTTATAAGATAGCCTATAAAACAAAAAAATAAAAAAAAAATAGAAATATAACCATCTGAAATTATAATAGATCTTTTCTCTAACATTTAGAATGTAAATATATATATATATATATATTTTATTTAAAATAATGCTTCTATTAAAGTAATAACTGAACTTTATTTCTCAGTATCAAAAAATTATAAAAAACTTTGATGTAAAATTTTATCTGGCAAAGACACAATATTTCACTAAAAAATTTCAAAAAACTCCAAAATCCAAACAATTGAATAACCTGTCTTCGCTATCAAAACGTAACACGAAGAATGCAAACAAGGCAGCATGAATTGCACCAAAAATAGTAAAGAGGAATGAATATAGAATACTTCGAAATGAAAATAACAACGAGAAACAATCTGCAAATATTTTAAACATATTAATTAACATATTACTTAATTGATCAATAAGGATGGAAACTACTACAATTTGTCTAATCAATAAAGATATTAAAAATAGACATTTAAGATCATAAATACATCTTTAACATCTCAATGCGTTTAGCATAAAAGCTTCATGGTATGATTAAATGTACCACTTATAAATGGTTTGCTGGTAAAATAAATTAACCAAACTTTTCAAAGAATTCTAACACTAATAAGCAAAATCATTTATAAAAAATTTTGGAAGGAAAAAATTCAAAATCTAAGCAATTCAATAATCTGTCCCTAATTTTCTTATAACAAATTCAATTAATCGAAACTAATAAGAAATTCTGAAATAAAAAATTTCATATATCCGATAACTCAAAAACCTAAGAATTTTTGAAACAAAACAAAGAAAAAAATTAAAACTTCATAAAATTCATTTACCTAAAGCTGCTTGGAAAGGATGCAAAAGAGAGATCTGCAAAATGCATGCAGCAATAAAATATACTGGAATGCAATATAGTCCAAGGCAAATAATAGCCTTCAAAATCCGTAGGAAAATCTGAAATTATTACTCTATAAATTAACATACACGTATATCATAAATGTTGCAATATTAATACAGCTAATATGCTTACCAATTTATGAATTTTGTTAACAATTTTGTGGTGTGCAAATTCAATAAAAAAATTTCCATTAAATTTTAAAAATACAAGAAAAAAACTAGAATGTAAAATGATGAGAACAAAATAGTAATAATATGCTTACAATATGTTGAAACCACTGTGTTATGGATTCAGATGAGGTCTGATATTTCCGATGTAATTGTTCCAGTGGTTCCGCATTGAAAGAGCTTAATTGTTGTTGTTTTTGATTATCAATTGTGGGTGATAGCACAGATGGTGATAATGGATCAAAACTGTGAAATCGTCCAGCCATTGATACAACTCCAATATCATCTAACAGCTGGACATAACTGATAAGTTCATATAGTTCATGCAATAATAAATTAGAAACAAAACAAAGCAAAAAAAAAACAACAATTATTAGTAGTTATAACCTGAAACATCCTTCACAATTGATAAATCTGAGATAAATGTAAAAGTAATATTTGAGAAGCATACTTTGTTTAATTTCCCTACCACATAAAATCTTTCAGAGCTGATGACAATCATTTAAACTAGTGCGAACTATATCCATGAAATAATTTGTTGGATATTTAGAGAAAAATAATAACTATCAATTACTAAAGGATTTTCTTCCCAATGTTTCTGCACTTTTCTTCATTTATTTTCAACCACTTGCAACTAGTTCCAATGGTTACTTGATAACTTACTTGAAACTAAATTATTACAAGCAGAGGAAACATTAGATGCAATGGCATTCGAAAAAGAAACCCACCAGCTCCGGAAAGGTCCATAATTAAATATTTCTTCTGTTGGTAAACAAAACTAATTCTACATATATAATTAGAAGAAAATGGGAATAAACTACCGCAAATATTACCTATTGTAAATAAAAAGTTGATGATAATCGAGTTAAACAACAGTGATTCGGCACTGGTCTGCGAAAAACAGGTTGAATACTTTTGGACGAAAAATGTGATTTTTCAATAGATTTATGCAAATAAGTATAGCATCTGCCAATTGGAGCACAAAATTTGCAAAATATCTGACATGAATTTGAGTACATTTACCAATTGGGTTTTAAATTGCTTTTGATGAATGTTTAAGCACAGTTAAGTTTTAAAAGATATGATTGACATAACACTGAATAATTTTTCAAGAATTTTCAAAAAATCATATAACAAATTCTCACATTCCTCATTTCATCGTATGATACTTTAAAAAAATTGATTACATCCAAATAATATAAAATAACTGAAGTTGACAAAGCTTACCAATCAGCTTTCTCATCATTTTAGGCATTACAATTATCTTTGGAAAAAATGAGTGAGCATGAGAAAAAAACCAACACAAAACAAAACATAAACTGAATAAAATGAGACCAATGGATCATCCTCGGAACTGAGGTCGAGGCATCCCCCCTGGACCACGTTGATTGCCACGTGGGCCACCACGTCCCCGAAATGCAGTGCCACGTCCTCAAAGTGAATAAAACGAATATTTTCAAAAAAAAGTAGCATAAGAGATTATAAATGCAACCTTAGCTTTATGTCCTCATTAAAATTAGAACAATTCCTGAAATTCTTATCTCGGAAATTTCATATTCAAATGATAAAACTAAAACTCTCTAAAATCGTTTACCTCGAAGGCCACGTCCATCACGATTATCTCCCATTCCCATACCAACAGCTCCTTTTTGGGCTCGTCCAATATTCTTGAACATTGGTGCGTTCTTCAACATGTCTGGCAAAATCATAAACCGAATCTTTGATCCACGAATAAAAACATTATCCAAATGATGAGTCCTTCCATCTCGATAAGTTACCGTGACTTCGCTCATTTGACAGTTCATGTTATCCTCTGCCTGAAATGACAAAGTAGTGACATCTCGCAATCCGATTTTCGGCTGAATCAAATTATCAGCTGTAAATCTATTCAGGTGAACAAGAAATAAAATACATCTATCCTGATTATTTGGTCATTTCATGCAATGAATTCCTTAGGTAGAAACAACAATTCAACAAGTCCAGATAATTAAAATTGCAGTTTACCTCATTCAATTTACCGCGATATACTTCGCCAATTGTCGTCTCAAGTGTAATAACATGACCTTCAGCTTCATGTAAAATTTTAATCGGAACACCAATTGCAGTCATTGTGCACCTATCAAACAAACTGGAAAAAGTAAAGATAAAAAAATTACTGAGAATAAATAATAATAATGCTACCAACGACCTAATTTCAAAAGTTTCGTTAGAATTTAACTTGATTGGGGTCTTGAAATTAAAGACTAACTTGAAAATAGAAAAATATGTATAAATAGCAATAGCATCAAACATTAATCATATGCATAATCCCCCAACTGCAAAATATTTTATAGTCTTTTATCATAAATATATGATAACGATGCCATACAAATGAGATCGTTAATAAAATTATGTAAACGCAGCAAAAACTTAATGAATACGATAAGTCAGTAACATAGAAATGAATTCCGATGTCACCTTTGGTATACTCTTAAAAGCAATCACAAAATTACCACCTCAAAACAAAGAAAAAATGCATTTTGCATCCTTTCATCGTTCTTTTCAAATTATAAATTTTAGAAGAAAATATCAGAAAGGAGAAAAAATTACTGCAATATGCAAATGCAAATAACGTTACATAAACAAATTTGTACACATGTTATTTTTCTATATTATTTTATGCGAAGTACTGAGAGAAAAGTCAATCTAATCAACGGATTCTTTTAGGTGACAGATGAATTAGATAGTTCTATTCAAATGAGAATTCAAAGATAAATTAACGTCCAGACAGACCAAGATGATACATATCCAAGGCAATCTTAACTCATAATCACAGAATCTCTGCCTCCTAAACAATATAAATCCAACTACTGAAAGGGAAACTTCACTTTAAGCAGCAATTTGATTTAAATAAATACAGAATAATAGTAAAGCAACAGAGTATTTAAAGACTAACTACAATTGGAACACGTAAGTTCAGTAAGTAAATTTGTCCAGTTACTAGTACAGATCGTGAGTAAACAGAGAAGATCTCGAATGCCAGCAAAAATGCAAACGCATTAACATTTACACTCGTAGTTTTATAAGCAATAAAAAATCATGCTAAACATGCATACAATACCTAACGAGTAGAAAATGCTTTTTTATTATAAAGTTCTACAGAGCTTCCAAGCTAGCAAATTATAATATAAGATCTAGAAATGCTCGGGAATCTCGCTAGTACGGATTCGGCCAATTAGCCGTTTCATTCCCTGGACAACATTCCGCGTCTGTGGAGTTAATTCGTCATCTCTTGCATGAAGCAGCTGAAAACTAAGGAAGTGCAGATTGGAAAACACTAATCGCATGTCTAAAATAATAAACCTGTAAAATTTCCTAAAAGATTTGACTTTTCAAAAAATTTCGAAAAATCAATTTCAGAAACAAAAACCTCGTTTACAAGGAAGATATTTTCATCGCTTTCTGTCTCGTTTCCTGCAACTACTGGTGTACCGGCAACAGAGAATGCCACTTCCTCTCGACGCAAAGTCCGAAACTTGATATCATCACTGGAAAATTCAAATTACCCAATCCACTTTTTTTTTTTTTTTTTAAAGGAAAAGAAACAAGAAAAACTCTACCTTAGCGCAAAAAAAGAGGAATTTAAAATGATTTTTCTCTTACCCATTTTGGACTTTCGGCGTTATAGCTCCCGGCACGCGAACATTCCCAGCAGGCGTTTTTAGAACAATAGGTTTCAAATTCCTGTACCTAAAACAGCAACTCATGAAGAGAAAATGAGGTTTTTTTTTCACAAAAAAAAAATCATTATCTTCTACTTCCTGAAACTTCCTATAAACAATAAACAAGCACTCCAGTTAACATTAAAGAAATTCAGAACCAAACTTACGCTGGAGTCCTCATGTTTGTAGAAGATGGTTCAGGTACCAATTTCCGCGCCCCTCGAAGCCGATTTGCCCAGGCGTTTGATTTTTGTCCCATTCTGGATTCACTTTCAGTTTGCTGACTAACACTCGGCTCATCAGACAGCTCAACAATAGGATCTAAAATATTACTTGAGGAAGATTCCAACATTCCAACAGTTTATTTGGGAACAACATAAATTAATATATTTATATTAACAGATTTAAGTAATGATATATTAAAATCTGCCAATTTCACAAAAAAAAAATTAGATTTGCAAAAATTACCAGCAGTCTCACATGATGACATGAATTCAAAAAGATTGCTTTTGCGGAGTTCCTAAAAATTGATAATAACAGTTCGCACCATCATTATTTCCAACATTCAAAACCTACAACGTTACATTCAGAAAACCTATCTTCATTCACAAATCCTGTCCTGTCTGTCATGTTCTAGGAATGACGATGATCTATACTTACTAGGGATGATTTTTTGTCAGAAATTCCAGATTAATCTAATAAAATTAGTTGATGTCCATCAACGTTATGTGTAAAGTGTGTAAAGTCTACTCATCCTCACCTTCAAGAAATTGACTTATTAACATGATTTAGAAAAAAATGAATTGATGTTGCCCAACTCAACAATATAAACTCACTTCTGGCAGTTGATCAATTTCTTGGAAATATGCCTCAAGAATATCATTTGCATTAATAAGTTGTTGAATTTCCGCTAATTTTGCTTCGCCTATAAAAATAACAGGGATGAATCAAATATTTTTGATAATATTTATAAAACTATCAATTGAAATCTAACCAATCAATCTTTCACGCTTATCTACATGGATTGGTGGTAAAATCTATTTTTAATCGACAATTGTGGATTAAACAGTGTTACAAAGTAGAAGAGTTTCACTTGAACTGCTTACTAATTACTATCAATATAATAATTGGACAAAATTTCATCTAGTCATCTGGAAAAATCATTTATCCAGTTTCAGTTCTATCCAAGCAGTCACCAGAAAGACAAAAATAATCATTCGTTCATCTTATTTTATCCACAAACCTTGTTTCTCAAAGTTCGTCTTCCACTCTTGAATTCGTTCGAGTACATGATTACTTTGCGCCATGTAATAGGTAAATTTCCGCAAATGAGATAAACCGAATCCTTCCAAAGAAAATGGTCTAAGCTAAATTGAATTATATTGACTTGAGAGTATATGATGAAGTTCACATTTATGAAAATACAAACTTTACAAAAGTGTAATATGCCTACACTTTCGTATTTTTTCCCCGCAGCATAACAATACGAGTATACGTCAGTCTATCCATACCCATTTAACCAACATATATGTCAAACAAACATAAGTCTATCCACATATTTTATTGTTATATTATGTAGGAAGAAATTCATAGTAAAAGAAATGATTTTTATTTCTTTCCATTTCCATTTTGCAATTCCATTTTCTCACTATATAACATACAATACAATAACCGAAAGTGAAATACATAAAACTGTATGACTACATTATAAATTGATTATATTACAATTAAATGAATGGATGCGGTATCAAGAGAATTCATAATACCTCAACAATGTTAAGTAATTCAAGATTAAATTTTATAGCAAGAAACTTATATAAATAAAATCTCACCTTTAATAGTTGCCAATGTTGACAATTTCACACTACAACTTTATCTAGCTTCTTCCATATAATGAAAACCTGCAATGCTCACAACAAATCTCCCAGATATCCCGAGAAATCCCGCCAGGAAAAGTCTCCAACCAGCCACTCAAAACAATTTCGAAAATCAATGAACCAATTCAAAACCATAACGTACGCTCGAACATTCGTCCCCATATCAGCCTACAGCTAAACTTCGGACATAGGCACCATCCGTACGATACCAATAAGTTCATTTCGATTTTTGGGCTGAGGATTGGAGGTAGCGTGTGAGGTGTATGTGACGATAAGGGTAAATTATCGGGTAGAAGTCCTGATTAACCGGATCCTGAAAAGAAATCGATAATTAGACGTAACCCAGAAGAAGTAGGATACAATACGGATTAGTCCGAAAATGAGTGATATGTTTGTATATTAAAACGTTAGCATTAATTTCGAAGTGATGAAGTGAGAATGAAAAGTTGAGGTAATCGCTTGTGACAAAGTTTGAATTGGTTATTCTTTGATAATTATGATTAGAATGTTCGGGCAGTTTCGTAATTATATTTTATTGCATGTTTGATATTTTATCTGTAATTTAGAAATTATTTTTTGTCTTCCATTTCACAATGATATATTTGCTTATCTTTTTCCTTTTCCTTTCAGGATTTTCCGAAATGCCTCGGCAAATAACAGAAATCAAGGAGTTTCTGATGACTGCTCGAAGGAAGGATGCCAAATCGGTAAAAATTAAGAAAAATCCGGATAATGTGAAATTCAAGGTGCGATGTAGCAAATATCTCTACACACTCGTCATTCAGGTAAGCAGTATTTTAGTTATAATTTTGCTAATTTTGAAAGTTATAGCCTTTTTTCCTTTCCATGAGATGCAATTTATTTAAGACCAGTTATTCTGCTTACCACTTCTTGATTCTAGTATTGTTAAATGTTAACCCTACATCTAAATATTCTGCTTTTGACTTCTTTTGTTGACTTTTATATCTTGATAGTAACTGGCTTGTTTATGCTATAGCCTTTTTATGCAATGCTTGCTTGTGGTTTTGATTTTGTATTGGTTTTATGTCGGAAATGCAATCAGAAGGGTGCAGACAGATTTAATTGTTCTATTAGCCATGCACTATTTTTAAATTCATGAAAATAGACAATGATTGTGGAATTTTGGTCGGAAAATTTGTTCAGAATGTTTCTTAGACAGTCGAAAGAAATACTATACCCAAGAAACGTTCAGAATGTTTTGCTTAGTATGATTTCATTTCAACTGATCCATTTTTCAATGTATATGAAGTTTTTGTTCTTGAGCAGAACCGGAATTTTAACTTTCAGGATAAAGAAAAGGCTGAAAAATTGAAGCAATCGTTGCCACCTGGCCTTCAAGTAAAAGAATTGAAATAATAGATGTTATTCCAATTACGATATCTGCCATTGATTTTGGTTGCATGTGGTGTGTTAATTTCGATTGCTATATGGTTTACATTGGAAGTCTAAATAAACAGATCTTTTGAATCAGTTATAGTTCTCAAACAAGTTAGAACTGGTTTTCCTTAATTACAAATGAGTAATCTCACTTGTAAGCTGCATAATCCATATGCGGTAAGAATGTTATATGTTGCATAGAATCAACAAATTTGTTGGTTTGATAGAAATTTTGTCATTTAAAACAAGTATTTGAGCACGTTATCACATATTACAGTGGTGGAAAATCAATTCTGTTTTTATTGTGAACATTTTTATTTTTGAACAGGTTTTTTTTGAAGAATTTTAAACAGGTTTAGCCTGGAATAGTACTGAGCATCAGATATGTTACTATCGAAGGAATGAGTTAGTCTCCAGAAACATCTATCCTAAAATTATCTAGTGGACGTAGAGAAACTTATTAGTCAATGATTTAGAAACCAAAAACCTCAAAAACATGTCTGATGTGTTGGCGTAGTTTTCATCCATGGGCACTTAAGATTAGCTTGGCCACATGGGCTATGTCCAATTGCACAGTACCAATCATGATAAAAGAAAAGAAATACAGTTACAGCAATTAATAAAACATAAAATGAGAGTGAAATTATTTCGAGACGTCGAATCACTCGTTGCCATCTGGTTTGCAAATTGTCTTGTGGCAAAAGATTCATCATTTCCGCACTGTAATTTTACATATATAATTCCATCATTTAAGTATTTTGCATAGATTATATAAATTTTCAGCATAGATGTTCGAACTTGTTATTTCCGAAAATTAAAAAGAGAAAAACAAAACTTTTGAGAAGTCATGGATTAATTTGAAATGTTTAGATTACTCAGAAACCTAAAAATAGTGGTGTAAACTATGTTAAATATATTTGCATTGCATTTGATAATTTAATCTGAATAAGAATTTAAATGGAAAATGATATACTTTCCCATTTAACATTTGGCTAATCGTAGAAATCGGAAAACTTTTTCTCCACATACATTTAAATAATGGATTTATCCACTATTTAAAGCTATTTAAATGATTAAATTTGTTAATTCAAGCACTAATGTGTAGCTTTGTAAAATTTAAATTCTTTTTCTTTTTCAGTACTCTCTTGCTACTACTGTTTATTATTATTTTCAAATGAAAATTTATGAACAAACCGTATTGCATTAACGGATGTTTCGATATTTCTTATTGTATCGATCAAATATTCCCACGACTGATTGCATACCTGTTCGATGTCATCGTAATCTGTCATCAAATTGGGTGTCATAGCAAATCGCCCCCTGAGTACAGCTGGTGGAGAAAGCCTTGCTGAATCATTCTATAATGCTAATTTAACATTTTAAATTATATGCGATTATTGAAAGTAAGTAAATGATAGAATTTATAAATTATAATTATTGATAATGAAAAATTTGTCATAATTTATGTTATCAAAAAATACATTTGTCATCTAATTAAAAAGAAAATCAAGCCAAAATTTCAGGATCAAAGTATTAAATATTAAATTGTTGCAAAAAAAAAAAAAGACAATAAGAGATTCAATTTGCATTTAAAGGTTCTATATATTTGAAAACGATTAAAATAAATCAACTTACACGTACGATAAGTCGTTTATTGATATCATTGGAAGGAATAGGACTAAAAATAAATATAAACATTACAAGTTAACATTTATATAAATGTCATAATATTTAGTTCTATTCAAACTGAAATTCATTCATCAATAAAATGCTATTTAATTAAGTTTAACTAAGAGTAAAACATTTTACAATATTAATGAAAGTTTTTTTATTGGATTAATTAGATTAATTCTTGCATAATATTTGATTTTCTTATTTTAAATTTTAAAAAATTATTACCGTAAAAATCGTATATTTATATCGAATGAAAGCCAATGTAAATACCATGGAATATGATTACTACGTCTTAAATCTTTCTCCAAAAAAACAAACATTGATGTGGTAACCGTTGAAGAGCCAATTATTGCCAATAAAATAAAATAATATAAACCTATAAAATTTTCTTTTTTTAAAAAAAAGATCGATTTTCAATTTTAAATTTAACTTCAAATTCATACATTTATTATCCAAATTGTTTAAAATAAAAAATAAAAAAAACATAATTGAAATGATATAACATAGTATGTTTTTCTCATCTTCTTTTTTTTTAAAGTAAAAATAATTCCTGATCCGGAATTTCACTAAGATAGCAATTATTTATTGATAAATTAAAAGTACTAGTACAGTGTTGGTACATATTAAATAATTTTTAACATAGAAGGAATTTTTTAAAATTATTTTAGATAACTTAAAATGAATTTGTACTTTATTTTATTTTTTCTTTTCTAAAGAATCAAAAAAAGACAAAAGAAAAAACAAAAACATCTGTTTATAAAATTCGATGTTATTATCATCGCTTTTCATTTTTAATTTTGTTTTTTCTTTTTAACATTTTTTTGTCGTTTTTCATTTAATGCAATGGAATTATATGCACAATTATATTTGTGGAAAATTTTTTATTAAATTTGAACTGCTAAAATTTAATTTACGCATAAAGCAAAAAAATTTTTTCTCACAAAAAGTATTTGCAGAAATTTATGTAAAACGGAATTTTCTCATTCTTTTACTATTATCATTAATGTGAACATTCATTCTTTTATTTAAAAAATTTTTCATTATTGCACATTCGTTCTTCTTTTATTTAAAAATTTCACACATTTAAAAACAATTTTCATTGTTAAGTAAATACTATTTATATAAATAATAGAATAATAATGACAAAAGGAAAAAAAAAGGATTGGATTCTTTCTATTATAATAATACTAATTATTAATAATAATTATAGTAGTCAGTAAATAAGTAAGTAAGTAAGTAACAACAATAATAATAATAAGTAATGTATTAATAGTAAATAATAATAACAATAATAGTGACAATAAATAATAATAAGTAATGATAATAATAATAATAAATAATAATAATAATAATGATAATAATAACAATAAAAATAATAATAAATAATAATAATAATAAATAATGACAATAAATAATAATAATAATGAATAATAATAATAAATAATGATAATAAATAATAATAATAATAAATAATAATAATAGCAATAATGATAATAATAATAATAACCAAAATAATAATAATAATTAAAATTCTAACCAATTAATGGAATACCAGAAAATGAACCACGTCCTTTACGTGAACTTGACATACTAAATTTTGGCATATCTTCAACAATTGCAAGTAATATGACACTCATACTCATTAATGTCATTATACCAAGTCGAAATTTTGCATCCCTTAAATTTAATTTAAAAATTTAATTAAATCTAATTTTTAACTTTTCATTTTCCTTTCATTAACAATAACAAAATGAAATTTTTTTCTTAAATAATTTATATAATTCATAACTTAATTAAAATAATAAATTACCTCATTTTACCGCTTGTGCTCGGCGTATGAAATCCAATTACAGCTACTAATGTGATTATTGTGCTCGGTATAACTAAGTTAAATACTAAAAGAAAAAAATGAAAGTAAGAATTTTCATAAAACAAAAGTAAAAAAAAAATTTTTTACTTTAGCTTTTTTTTCATGAAAATTTTTTTTTTGAATTTAAAAATTGAATAAAATGTCAAATATTAATAAAATAGTACCATAATAAAAACTTTGTCGAATTAATACAAGATCCATAATAATCATTTCCCAGAATAATGGTGGATCCAAGTAATCATAGAGAAAACTATCGGATATGATATTACTATGACTCTTTAAAATTGAAATTAATAATTTGAATAAATTATGCAAGTGAAATTTTAATTTGTTATTTCAAAATGAATTTAAAAAAAAAAAAGCAAATCGAACAATTTGAATTTTCAAAGTATTTATGAAAACTAAATTATAAAAATTTAAGAATATGATAAACTTTAAAGTAAGTTTTGAAATTGTAATAGAACTACAGAAATTTTATTTAAAAAATAGGAATAAAGATACAGTAAAGTTAGTTAAATTTATGAAACACTAAATTGAAAGAAAAAAAAAATAAAAATTTTTAAATACTTTAAAATTTTCAGTTTCAAAAAAAAATCCTTAAAAATATTTTAAAATTAATTTTCAATTTCATTTTTTACATTTATTTTTTTTTTTTTTTTTTTTTGCACTAAATTATAGATTTCAAAGATAATTGCATTAAAATATACATTTCTTATTCAACATGATAAAAATATTTGTTATATATTATAAACAAATTATTAATTTTAGCATTGTTCGTTTGTAATATTATAAAATAGTAAAATTAAATTTCTAAAATATTAAATTTAAATTTCTAAAATATTAAATTTAAATTTATAAAACATTTGAATTTAAAAAGAAAAAGAAAAGAAAGTATCATGAAAAGTATTTTAATTTTTTAATCAAACATTAATTATAAAGCATTCATAAATTCAACTAAAAATTTATTTCAGAATAGCACCAACCGAATCAAGTTGCCATTCTTGATTGTCATAGAAATCGATCAAACTGAGATGATCGGAATACAAAGCATATTTGATCGAATCATTAGAGTGTGCCCAGGAACCAAACAATAAGGTGCATTGTTGACTGGAAAAAAAAGAGAAGAATAAAATTAATTTAAAGAATGTTAAATTTAAAATTAATTTAAAGAATGTTAAATTTAAAATTAATTTAAAGAATGTTAAATTTAAAATTAATTTAAAGAATGTTAAATTTAAAATTAATTTAAAGAATGTTAAATTTAAAATTGAGAAGAAAAAAAAAGACAATTTGGTAATTTTAAAAAAAGGAAAAAAAAACTAATAAACTAATAATAATAAACAAATAAAAATGTAAAATCTACATTTTCAATATGTATTTGAATAAATTACATTTTTGTATTAAACAATTTTGATAGTTAATTTTTTTAAATTAA